GTAAAGGAAGAAAACTAGTATTCCACTTTTTAGTTGCGCCCCTTGGTGGAGAAGATAATTGCAATGTGACAACTTACCCAAGTGACAACAAGCCCCGGTCTCCCCTACTGATACCGATACATCTGCGATAGGCAATATCTGCTGATTATATCAGCTTAAGTAGCTGCAGAGCAGATGATTTATACCTGTGATATGATCCAAAACCTATAAAAAACCTATAGAGATCCTTACACGACAGACTTATTTCCAAATCCATAAAGATATATAGATTAATAATAATAATGATAGAAATATACTATTATTTTCCTCCTGACATTTTCAAATTAGAGTAATTTTATAGTTAATAATATAAATATAAGGAAATATTACAATCACAAATGTTGATTCACCAAATCAACTCCAAAGTGACAGGCACCTAAAATAAGGAAGGTCAGAAATGGCAGAAGATTATCATTACTTAATTCCTCTTATATCACTGTGTTGATTCAACTTAATCAAGCAGTAGGAGGTGTGATCTGTGCTGGAAAAAGGAAAATTGTTTTGATGGTACAAAGTCAGTTTGTGATTGCACCTGCTTCTATATAAACATACATCAGACATCAGCTGACATCTCTCACTTCTTCCCTGCTACTGACTGCAGCCACTTTTACTTCCTGACTGTTTGGAGAGCTTCCTGAAACAAATGTTCACATTCAGAGCAGTTAGTCAAAGCAAGGTGACTTTATTTGTACGGCAAATACATTACAAAGTATAAAAGCACAAAACAAAGCAAAGTATAATTAAAAATAAGAGGTTAGAAAAAATATATTACAAAAATAAGGTCCTCCCCTCTCCCACACAAGAATACATTAAAGGCACATTACATTACTACTGTGTAAAAGCATATCATATCATATCACTGGTTAATATCAGTGACCTTTCTTTATAAAAAAGCAATAGCAATACAACGATGTGAACGTAGTATAAGTACAAATCTTCAAAATGTTACTAAAGAAATAGTACAAAAGTATCAGTGCAACAACATCTGAACATTGTTTACAATTTCCACATAATGACCAACTTAACGCCCATTCTGTTTATTTGCATCTGGCAATTCTTCTGCTCAGAACTCTAATTCTAAAGCATAAACCCCTCTGCCAAATGTTAAATATTTATTGAAGTGCAATTTTTGTCAACATTTTGTTTATTTTAAAGGGGGGTTTATTGGTTTTATTTATTAAGGATATTTTGATATTTTTATCACATTCTAATTTCAATGTCTGAATATTTGTAAGAATTAAAGGTTCATTGCTATTTGAAAGGGTGTACTTTGCTTAAAGCTCAATGAACAATTGGAACAAGATGGTGAAATTAGCTTAACATTAGTAAAAATTAACGGCATTGCAACAGATGTGACAACAAAGTCACATTAGGCTACTAAAACTAAGAAATAAGTCCAGATGAGCTTTTGGAAAACGGAAAAATAATGAAAGTCTGGTTGGGAGCTGTGTGGCAACTACTTTCTGTTGTCTTTGGTTTTCTCTCACAATGAACTACAGTGGCTGTATTCAGTTGATATGTTTTAACCCACACTAGTGGAATGGCATTTGAATGTAGTGCATGATAAAGACTATCTCTGACCATAAGGCCTGATGTTACTCTACTGCTTTTTTTCTTTTTGTTTCATTTTGTGTTTCCACTCTGAGTGACCATTATTTTTGCACATGCCAGGCAGCACTGAGCTCATGTTGCCACTGAGGAATTCCAGTATTTTTCACAACACAAACTGAGTCATCTACCTCCAGGACTGGAGACTGTAGGTGGGAAAAATACAAACAAAAGACATTAAAACAAACTCAGGTGCAGCCTGTTGTGTGAAACATTGTGAGACATACATCTGAGAATAAAGAGTAGTAAATTCAGACCTACCAGAGTCCTTTTTCATTGTTAGCCTGCCTGAAAGCCAAAAGCAAGACACAGTTAATAGCTTTAGCAGTTAGCAACCATCCTGGAGGAAGACAACAATGGGAATTGGTAGGTATTCTGTAGTTATATCAGGGATTCAAACTAAGCCCTAACCTGTGGTCACAAGTCCAGCCACTGTTAATAATAGTATTAATAGAGGAATATATGCATAATAATTCCTTGAAGAACTTCGACAGACAACGTCACTGCTCGTACTTCCTTCTTTGACCTTTACTTGGGTTTCTGGACAGCTGTTGGAAAAGAGACAAAAAACAGCTTCAGTGCTCGTTTTGAAGAGTCAGCTCAATACAGAGAATATATATTAAACATGTTCCATTACAACTTGTTCCACTGCAGAATGTGCAGCCATAAAACTCAACAGCTTATCAACAATCCAATCAGTGCACAACTACAGAGGTCACTTTGTGCTCCATGGCAAACAATGCCTTACACAGTCCAAGCCGCGCAGTTCACACCATCCTGTGAAAAACTTCCTGGCTGACAAACTTCACACACTGTATCATTTCTGCGGGTTCCTAAGAGAAACAGACAGGAGAGAGATTAATTACACACAAGGAAACATCCAGTGAAAACCCATCATTTATCAGACTCACAACGAGATTGTGATCACTAATCACAATCACAGACACAAGAGAGGCGTTTACTGACAGAACCATTTGACAAACTAGAGTCACATACATACTGGCAAAAAAGTATGAAAGATACGAAGGAAAATTAGTATTGGAACCATGTCTGTGTGGTTTCATAGTTATTACAGCATGATCAATACAAATCTTTCTTAAAAACATATACTTATTTACACAAAGTACATTAACTTCATTAATCTAATCCATTTTAAAGACCCCACCCATATAAATCATATTCAAGAAATTTGAAGGCCTAAAATTACATTATTACCCTGATTTTCAGGTCTTGATTTGATTAGATTTCTTTCTAACTGTTTGGAGTTAAACAGCCGTGCTCCTGATAAATCCTGAACCTCATCAGAGCGGTCTAAAAAGGTTATTTCAGCAGTTAAAGGTTGAATTCTCCTCTGTCCTGTCAACTTTAATAAATATTAGGAGAGATTTGCTGCAGTAACATTACTGCCCACACGGAAACAATTACATCATTTAAAAGGCAATACATAGAGAGTAGAGAGTGAGTCTCTAAACTGGAGAAAGTAACAGTTCAGGAGGAGGATTTGGGCTTCATGCGGATTTGGATGATGCCAGAGCCGATCTGTGCAGTCAGATACCGTCAGCAGCATGTATACATGGAGCTGAATAAAAAGGTTACTCCATGTCCCATGGAAACGTGTATGTCCATCAACATGATCAAACCAGGACAGTAGTGTGTAAACTTACTACCAGACTAGTTTGACTTTGGTTTCTCTTACCAGCTTCCTTTATCCTCTGACCAGGCACACAGTGTGTGTGTTTCTCTGCCAAACTACATCCTGAATCATCGGCCCAGCTTCTGCAGAAATACCCCTCTAACACATCACAAACTGCGTCGCTTGATCCCGTGCACTCCTGTTGGGCAAACAGACCCTGACCTAAAACAACCAGAAACATAGTCATTATATTAATGCTGTTTATACATTTGATTCCACCTTGAACAATATCTGAAACAATGAGATAGTTCATCTCTTTTTTGGTTGACTGCAACCAAACAAGTGAAATCTAAACTTCTAATCAGCAGATAGGAGCTGGCCAATCAGAGCGCCTGTTGCTGCTCTGTGGTTCACTCACTCACACATCTTCAAATTAAAGAGAGCGGTCTTTAAATGAAATCACACCTACCTGAATTATTTGGGTTCACTTTTCAGTAAACATGCTGAATGATATTCATTTCTAGGGCTGCGATTTAGGATTCATTTCATTGTCACCAATCTTAACGAATTTCTTGAATTAACTGATTAATGGTTCAATATATGAACTGGAGTGTCACGGTTTTGTGTGATAAACCACACCCATTATTTCCTCAGTCATTCTCTATGTTGCTGCTAATGTGGATCGACTGCCTGGCACGTCCTGCTGGTCGAGGGATGAGGCTCTGGTTTTGAAGTGGGGCTGCAGTCTCAACCGGAATGTTGACGAGAATTTGTCTGATTTCAAGGTACGTGGCTAATTAGGTTAAACAGTTATAGTCAGCTTAGTTTTAGCTTAGTCAGAACAATGAACTATTGCACACTGCACTGTATGCAGTTTGTGGTTTTGTAAAAAACAGTTCACTATTGGTCTGGTGAGCTATGGCTGTGGAACGCAGACTGCAGGCAGAGCAGCTGAAGATTGCATTTCAGCACATTTATATTTATTTAGTTTTTGGAGAGTGGAAATCTGATTTTCTTCATCTTCAAGTACCAATACGAGAACTAACCTTAAAAAGCACCCTATTTGTTTGTTTTAGTTTTGTCAGATATCCTAATTCCTTTTCCCCGTTACTGCATGTGTCACAATCAAACCGAGTGTCAGTGGGAATGAAAGGCAGATATGTGAACTCATTAGGAACATACTTTTGTCACAGGAGGTGCAGGAGAAACAGCTTTTCAGGCCGTTGGGTTGGTTCATGAAGGTCCCTGTCTTACAGGGGCCACACCGTGTGCCTGACTGTGACGTGCAGTCTCTTATAACAACTGTACCTGTTCAACACAAAAACACACTGTCAGCATCACGTTATCACCACGACATAGATGGAAAATAACAGTGACAAAAAAGAACACAAGATAATGTATGACAGACCATGGCTTTGGTTTCTGAGGAGCCTATCACAGCTTGAACTAAAATGTCAAGATTGCCTTTAGCTTGTTTACTTTTACACATTTCATTTCAATCAGTCAAACCACCAACATCCCTTTGGATTCAACTTGACCTGCACATATCAGTTTGTGTTTCCTTGCATTCCAAACCCCTACATAACCAGCAGGAAAAATACTTACAGCAAGTCTAGATTTTGCTTAGACATAAGATCATATCCACGTCCGAGGTCGTATAAAAAACTACGTATGTGTGGTTTTCTGTGTAAACTTGATCTTTGAAATCTAATTTGCTTTAGAAATTAAGAAAACATGTTTGTTTTGTACAGAGCCAACAAATGTCACATCATCATGATTTAGTTTTTTAATAAATCATATCACGATATCTGTCACAATAATTACAATTTGAAGTTTTTACCATATGGTTCAGCCCTACATGATGACATTCTGGTGTACTTTCCGCTATGTCACAGTGACTCATATTTCTCTAGTCAGTTCTTGAGTAAGAGGTCGGCTGTAAACAACATGCACTCAGCAAATAATATGCACACCATAATGTGTGGTACTGGTAGACTGCTGTGCTCTCCTACGCTGTGATACGTGGTAAAGAAGAGGAAACAGAAAAGGTCAGAGAATAAAGTTAATATGAAATGTTCTGTTTATGTTGTATGTGCATACTATTTAAATAATGCTACACAAAGGAGCTAAAACATTATTTTGATAAATGAAATCTTATCTTCTTTAGGAATTTCCCCTCATTATTCGTGGAGTTTGGGTTTTGCTATTTTTGGGGAAGCAGTTAAATTAGCATATTTCTGCCTTTGTGAGTACAATGTTAAGTCTTGAACTTATATGGCACACTCATTTCAGTTTTTACTAGTTTTTAGCTTTGTTTATGTGAAAATAAATGTAATGCAAAATGAAAATATAAACAACGAAGGGGGCAGAACAATAACAAAATATATAAAACAAAGGGCAAACAAGAACATGAGTTTGTCGTGCTTGAATACACACGAAGGCCCACTCTTAAATGTCTCACAACACATTTAACTAAATATCACACAATACTAACGTTAAATAAACATGTGTACAGCCCTGTTACACGGTATCACAATGTTAATGTCTGTCCTCTGTCAAATGAAAGATAATGTTACACCCACAGTTGTAAAATGGCTACTTTGTTGAATGGCCGCATTGTGTCATTGCTGACTATATATACTGCCAATGCTTCAGACAGAGTGGTACCTGTGTTGCACCTCGGACAGCACAGTCCATCACTTGCAGCATACTCCGTGGGTCCACAGTCCGGTACCGCGAGGGCGGTCAAACACCCTAATAAAGA